CCCCAAAACCCCAAAACCCCAAAACCCCAAAACCCCGCAATAAAGTAATCGATTGCCAGAGCGGAGGAATTATTTATTTTTAAATTATAACTTATATAAATTATAAATTTCATTTTGATAAAGCTAAGTAAAATCGCAAAAATGTATCTGGGTTAGGAAGAGGATGAAAAGTCTTAAGATCCTTTGGCTTTCGATGACAGAATCCAAAGTACTCTGTAGAGGATATTTGAACAAAAAAGTGAGGAACTGACTAAGGTGTTCTCAAGTCAGTTCATCGACCACATACTTGAGTCGAGCAACTTGCCTGGAGTAAAAATATTAATTTATTGTGCATAATGGACGCGATTTATTCTTTAACTCATTTTATAGGCTGTTAACATCAAGTTAAATGCTTCGTAGCAATTCCACTTTTTTGGCTTCCCAGACACTAATTACCTCAAAATTGTAAGATCATCTATTAGCTAATGTGATTTACAGGCTTCAATTGTACTTACGCTGTGGAACAAGAAGGCAGCGTTCCCGATTTAATTTATTAAGATAGAGGGATTCACCGACGAAACACAAGTACTCATAGATATCCTAAACAATCATACTCCAAGGATTCATGATGTTTTTAACTATCTAGAAAACGACAGTAATAATCACTCAATCGATATTTAAGTTATTCATCCTCAATCTTTTAGATTTGATGCAAACAGAGCATGAGCTGAAAGAATTAATGATTATATTAGGAGCAAGAGGCTTAATGACAATGATAGGTTTCAGGAAAACTACAGGCTCGCAGGATATTCCGTGGCCTACTAGAGCTAACCTACTCTAATGGTTCAACAAACCTCATATAACACTTAGTAAGTTTTAGTTAACAATAATAATGAAACCAGGTGATGATGAAATGAGAAGAGTTAAAAACCCTCCAAAGTTAACTGTAGGTGCCAGAGCTTGGTGCAAGCATGGTCATCGTAGCAGTGAGGGTTTCTGGGGTTAAGTGAAGGGAACTGAAACTGAAAAGAACGAGCAAGCTGACATTATAGCTAAACTAATTATTGATGAATGTGTGTGGATAAACGTACACATTCTTCCCCACAGCGAATACATAATAGAAGTAAGTCTATTGAAAATGAAGTTTATCCATATATAAATAAAGCCAGTATCACAACAAATTAAAATTAAATTATAGTGTCGTAATGAGAGAGGATATGGCATTAGATGGACAATCAAAGGTGAATTCAGAGGGTTCTTAGAGCCATAGATGGAAGGAGGGCATGACAAGAAATGGAGACACTGATATCCATCACTATTTAATAGTGGTAAGCAATCATATTCAAATATTAAAACTCAGAGTAGCTGATAAGTTCTCATATTGAATGTCTTAATTCAGAGCAAGGTGCAAGAATATATTAATAGTTTAATTCTAAATATTTAACTTCTCATCTATAATTGATGCTCTGGGGTTTTGGGGTTTTGGGGTTTTGGGG